ATGAGATCTTGCCCCCAAAATCCCTACATCCCTACACGCTCCACGAACAAACCACCCTCCCTGCGAAGCTTATCTTTGAGCCGCTTGAGTTGAGAACTTCGCATCTATATGCAATGGCGATGAAGTTGCTCTCATCTTGCGGACCCATGCACTGGGTTTAGTCTTGTTGTATCGCCTTTGCAAGTACCACTACCGTACCATTGTCGGTAACTGATACTCTCGTCAGCTGGCTTCTTCGTAGATGCCGTCGCGACAATACGGGGAAAGGATTGGATGTAATAATGCGCCACGACTTTGAACATATCAGTTTGCGGTTTGAGGTATGATTATGGGTAGTTCTCTAGATGAGTTTCCCTCTTTAGGTCCCCGAAATAGTATGGCACCCTGATAGAAAGGATCCTAAACGGCACCTTAATTTGCAGAACTACCCATTTAGGACTCGGAGCCTTGCGGGTTTGGATTACCCTTGGATTTTCAGGCCGAGGCTTGGTGGTAACTAAAGTATAAAAACACCATAAAGATCACCTGGACTCCGGAGAGTTGAGGATTTTGATTCACCAGGGGATTAGGGTTCAGGATTTAAAGGGTTTTGGGATTTTGGGAGTAATTGGGGAGGGCTTCGACTAAGGTGCAATTCTTATAGGGGCTGGAGGGGCTTCATCGCATGGGCGGGGCAAGCACTACAGAGCTTGCGAGACCCGGGCTGAATCGGCAGCGCAAGTGGATCAAGAGGTTTGCGCAGTGCTGAAGAGAACAACCCAAACAGCATCAAGAGTAAGAGTGGGAGCATAGTTGCAATACGAACTTATAGCCATACTTGCTTAACCCCTAAACCCTAAACCCTAAACCCTAAACCCTAAACCCTAAACCCTAAACCCTAACCCCTAAACCCTAAACCCAGGGTCCCTTTGTGGCCCTTGACCTAGCGACATCAGGTGGACCTTCTCATCTCCCGGCTTCAGAGGTCAGCTGAGGGTTTAGGGGTTTAGGGGTTTAGGGGTTTAGGGGTTTAGGGGTTTGGGGGTTTAGGGTGAAGGGGTTTAGGGTTTAGGGGTTTAGGGGTTAGGATTTAGGGTTTAGGGGTTTAGGGGTTTAGGGGTTAGGATTTAGGGTTTAGGGGTTTAGGGGTTTAGGGTTTAGGGTTTAGGGTTTAGGTTTTGCTTGTCGCTTAGAATCTGAGGCTTTCGGCTTAGAGTTGGGGGTGCAGGGCATGTTAGCTTCAAGAGTTGGGTTTTTTTGGAAAACCAATACCAGGCCGTGCCTATATGGAGCTCCGACACTAGAATCCTGTGTCGGCCGTGCCTGTTGCAACAGATATCTCCGCAATTCTACATTGCAATGGGTTCTGTGTTTATTTGTTCCTAAGCCCTCAACCCCAAAGCTTATCAACTCTGAACCATCGCATGGACCCAGTTTGCTCCAGCATGATTTTTGGATCTCCATAGCAGGCAGACCAACCTGCACAAGTGTCAGAAAGGTTTTCAAAACTGCCCTTCAGTCTGTCCCCGGGCGAGGCCGCAAGTGGCCTCAAAACCGAGTCGACATGACTATGCCGTGGCACAAGACCCGGGCTTGGATGTGCCTTGGCAAAGCAAAAAGTGGAATGCACACGACCAGGATCATCCATTGGTTCGCGAGTGTTGATGTTTGTGAGCCACGTATTGCATGGTACCTGGTACCAGGCGTTTCGGTGTTGGTGGCAAGGTGTCCCATGGTGATATTCCCAAATCTGAGAACGTCTCACAAAGCTAAAGTCGTAGCCTCTTCCCCGTTTTGCCCTCCGAGCACCCCGTCCTAAATCCCTAAGTCTTGCCCTGCTGTTCAGCCCTGAGGACTTGGGCCCAGAAGTGGCCGGGAGCTCGGGTTGCTCCCGCGAGATAGCGATCTTCCACAGTCTTTTCTTCAGGGTGTGTTGTGAGCGTGCGGCGACATAGACTATGAGATTCTCCTATGCTGTAGGGGTTGGCTGCATGCTTTGAAAACGCTTTTCGGGTCCAAAGCACGAAGTAGCTGCTTATGACGCTTCCCACCAAGCCGCGTGATACTTCCATTGCAACCCGAACGATGCCAGCTCTTGACGAAGGAATTCGCAGTAAGCATCCGAACCCAGATCAAAGGACACTGCCCTAAACCCTAAACCCTGAAGACATGAACCCGCCAGAGCTGAGTCGGTAGTCGCTGCTGTCACGTTTACCATCACTCCCCTAATAATTCTGGTGATATCGGAGCCATGGAGGGAGTTTTGGACGTGGACGGCACAAGGCCGAACTCGTGTGTTCTGGATTATACCAAAATAACAATATCCAGGATAATCAAGATGGGAAGTAATAACACAGCGAAGCACAATAGCAGTCACTATCATTATTGTTGAAAAGAGCGCACAATAGCAGCAGTATTGATATCAATATTGCTATAGTCATACCAATACGACTCCGACGACGACGACGACGAGTACTACTGCTGCTACTACGACTATTATTACTAATAACAATAATAACTGTAGTAATGTAGTAGTAATAACAGATTCGATAATATTAAAATCGATAGTAGTAATCTTGTTTGTAGTAAGAGGGAAGAATGAACACAGCACCAATAATACCAAGAATACTAACGCTAGTAGTCAAACTAACGTTAATGACAATGAGAATGATAACAGTATATCTATCCATCCATCCGCCTACCTCTGTATTTGTCTATATGTCTTTCTGTCTATCTTCCCATCTTTCTATCCACCTTTCTAGAAATGTGCACACTATGTATGTATGCATGTATGTATGCATATCCATGTGTATGTACCTAGGTTAATGTATGTGCATGTATGCGTATGTGTGCACTTATGCATTTGCATATGCTTACGTTAAAGCAGTGCTGTTCAGCATGTTCTGCGGTTGATACATTGATGGCAGGCTATACCAGCAGCTGTTCTTCCACGGGGACCCGTCGCTTGATGCTTATCCCGGGCCGCCTCCGCCGCTCTCGTGGGAGGCGGCTCATGGGATGAATGCCAGACTCCATGTTTACATTTAAGCTTTTGTTTTTGTTTCAGGGAAAGTCTCTTACTTACTTATGTGTATATACATATATTTATGTATATGTATATATATATGCACACACACACACACACACCTTTACACACGGGCCACGAGCTCCTTCTCACCGGTTCTTCCTCAAAGCTAGTACGTCCAGTTGCCTCGACCAGATTCAACCCGCTCTCGCTGTTGCTGCGAGTCGGTGTGGTGGGTTTGGGATTGTCTCTGGAGGTTTTCAATCCTCCATCCTCCGAGCGTGTGCGAGTGCAATCGCTTTTCCTATCCGAAATGTGGTGAGGTGTCAGCCCGAATTTCGGGTACAGGGATCGCGACCCACAGCCGCCAAGTATTTGTGGACATTTCTGCTGTTGTCATAGCACTACAACGATCCGGAAGCATAGCAGTCATGATGACCGTTCTCAACTGACACTGTGTGTTTGCCGCTCTCCACCCGTGAACCTCCTGTTTCTTTGCTTCCTGGCTGCAACTATAGCTACGTGTGTGTGTGTATATAAATAAAAACAAATAAATTTGTATAGACCAATTTATGTACATATCTATAAATGAGGCCAATATGCGTGTGTGTATATATAGAATACATATATATATATATACACATATATATATACATATGTATATATATGTATATACATATATATTTATATATGGATACAGACATACTTGGTTGTCTTGATCTTGTTGCTTGCAGGTCGTTCCATGTTACGATTTCAATGCTATGATCGGTAACTAGAGTCAGGAAGATCTACACGTACTTTACGCTCAAACCGACCTCGGCATACACTGGCAAACGGGCGATGTGAGGCGTGTAGTCTTTCTCCTGTTTCGGGCGTGAACACATCCTCATAAGGGTCTGGCCACGAGCTGCATATTCAATGGTCGACGACATCAGGCTTAGGATCTGACCGAAGCGATTGCGAAGGACAGAAGGAATCGTAGTAGCATCAAGACAGCAGCGACCGGAGTCAAAGAAAGCAGTCGGTGTATCAGGCGGATACTGGAGTCAGCATTTGCATCGAGCCTCGGCCAAACTAGTGAGACCGGTGTAGAGACAAGGGCAGGGTCGATCCTTCTTCGATTCGCATCACCACCAGCATCCTCACCTACTTCGGTTTCATCACCGACAGAACAATGAAGCATCGTCATCACGTGAAAGCACTGTCACCATAATCGTCATCATTGCCTTCGCTAGCCGCCATCATCACCATGGTAATCAGGATCAGGTCATGAGCGAAGCACAATCATGATCGTCATCAAGAATGTATCAACGGCTACAACTGTAACGCTGACACGGCAAATCTGCTGATACTATCACTACATAACATTGTCATCACGATTGTGGTGATCTTCATGAGGACCACTGTCACAGTCACGAGCATGCTTGAGCGGCTGCTCGCCGTCATTATCATGACAGTTTTCACAACCAGCCATCAGCAGCAACTGGTGTTTGTGAACCGCTCATCACAAACCAAGTAGAAGCAGAAGTGCCGAAGAAGCTGTATCGGCGGCCGACGAGCCTTCAGGAGTTCTTGTCCCACTTGTTCCTGATGGCTGCTGACCTTAGAATGAAAGTTGCAAGGTTCATTGGGAGTCCTGAGTTGCTGAAAACGTGATTGACTTGACGTCCCCGAATCCTACAGCCAATCCTAGGCTCTGAACCCCTTTGATGTCACACATCAAGTCATAGATAACCCTAACCCTAAACCCTAAGCCCTAAACCCTAATAGAGGTTTAAGGCTGAGGAGCCGAGGCTCTGCTTTGGGCTCGGTCGATTGGGCCGTTTGACAAAGTGCTATCTTTTGGGTGTTGGCCTGTTATAGTTTTGATGGGCTATCTATCTATCTACCTATCTAATAACCGAAGCATCGCATCGAGGTGGCCGTGCTTGTCCTCACGGCGGCAGCCAACTTGATCTTTTGCTGCCCTCGGCGTGGTGGGCAAAGAGCAGCGACTATGCAGGCGCCACGAGCTTGTGCACTGCAGAGGTCATCCGTCCCGTGGTGGTTACCCGAAAGACCACCTGCTCCCAAAAGATAATTGATAGAATGACCCGAACTTTCGTGCGACATATACAGCACGAAGATGAGTGTCGCGCGTGTCTGTCCCCCTGTGTGTGCGTGTGTGTGCATGTCTGCATACTATGTCTGCATCTGCAGATGCATCTGATATCACTGGCACCATCTGTAGGCAGATTGTATTTGTGTCTGCAGCTGCGCTCACATATCGGTTAGAGGAGGGCTGTAGACAGATGGACAATGAAGACGTAGGTGTAGGCTGTATATTCTTGCACACTTGCCGCTGATTAGGATTCAAGAGATCTTGGCCGAAGCCCGTCGCTTCCTTGCCCTGGAGGCTCCAGCAGATTCAGCCACCGCACAGCTGGCGCCCAACTCCAAGGCAGCTATCAGCTCTCAGTCAGAAGTGGGATATAAGTGACCCTCAACCCTTAACACCTGAAAGCTCAAGCCCTACATTGAGGGTGCGGGCTCAGCATGTGCACGAAAATCGCGTAGATATGCTATCCGTGGTAGATCTGAACCTTCCGGTTTAGCGCCCTAACGGCCGCGAACCTTCAGAACTCCAGAGAAATCTTGGGCTTCCTGTATGAAAGTTGCTGTCCATCTCATCCGAAGGACCTACATCGTGTGCTCAGCCAAGACTATAGAGATCATGTTGGGGCTTAAGTCTTATGGTTGTAAGTTGTAGGCTTTAAAGCACTCCAGGTTTGTGGCGGCCTTGAATTCCTACACTCCTCCAACTCGAAATCACAAAGCCCTTGCCTCTTCCCAAAATCCAAACCCAAAATCCTTAATCCCAAAATCCACCTGAACCCCTAAACCCTAAACCCAAGATCGACCTACACCCCTAAACCCTAAGCCCTAAACCCAAACCCCAAACCCTAAACCCCAAGCCCCAAACCCTAAACCCTAAACCCCTAACCCCTAACCCCTAACCCCTAACCCTAATCCCTAAACCCTAAACCGCAATCTCGAGATATTTGCAGGGCTCGGAGCGAGTGGACACGCTGGCATTGACCGGACTCCGTGGGCTGGCGGCCCTGCTCCTCGCCTTTTCTGTGCAGGAGCAGGGAGAGGAGAGAGGGAGCCAGAGACAGTCAGATATGTATGCGTATATATACATATGTATATATACATATATATAAATATATATATATATATATATATATATATATATATAATATGAGAACATACGTAATATATATATATATATATATATATATATATATAGATTAACTGAATACTAATATTAATATTACTATTCATATGAATTTTAATACTAATATTAATATTGACATTAATATTAATATTAATGCATATATACTACAAAGTTGAGATAATGTTTGCACTGATGGACTCTTACTGACTAGACCCTCTCCCATCCTCACCACCCCGCTCTATCCAACCCTACCCACCCACCTGGTTGTGTGTCTGTGTGTGTCTTTTGTGCTTGAGCCACAACCGCACAGAGCCGTGTAGTTTGTCAACTTGCGTGTTGTGGACAAAATAACCTCAATGAGCCCCACACCAGTCAAGCCATTGCACTTTATGTACGATATAGTGGCCTAAAAATTGCGACAGACTACTATTTTGGTGGTTCCTGATTATGATGATCGTATTATGGGCCCCAAAACCCCGTACGAATTCTAATTATTAAGGCCCCTAAAATAAAACCCAAAAGTTGAACCCTGGCTCAGCCCAGACACGTGGCTTTCGGTCACTACATCGCCGGTTCCCCGATCCACGTGGACTTGATCGGTGGCGCATCCATGAGACACTGTGCTGGAAGCGAGTGTTGTGATGTGTCTGGTTGAGGCTTGAGCGAGTTCCTAGGGGTCCAACTGCTTTTGGGAGAGGCTGCTTCGATGTTTTGCGACAGATTATGAGGTTGACAGTTGACTCACTGTGATGTCTTGGTGCTGTTTCTGCAGGGGTTTGGGTTGTACAGCTGCGTAAGTCTGGAGCGCCATGTTTGATTTTCATAAATCAACAGTTTCTTCCTTGCCCTCACTGGAGGTTTTTTCTACCTGCTCTCCGGCTTCGTCATGACTCTTGGTTATGCGAAGGACCTGGTCGCTGCGCTTCAGCCGCATTGCCCAGCGTTGTTGTTATGATGACCGTGATTATCGTTATTGGTGGTATTATCGCGTATTAGTATGACCATTCGTTTATTACCATTTCATGTTTTGCTATTACCACTACTACTATTGCTGTTCTCCTTCTTCTTCGTAATATTAATATCATTTTGAATGCTAGTGCTATTGCTACTAGTCTACTAGTGTTCACAGTAATGGTCATCACGCTGTGTGTTTGGGTGCTGTCGGTTCCTGCTGCATGCTTGAGCTGTACAGCGTCTAAATGGACCCGCAAGGTACCTTCGACAGAGGCCTTGTAGCCATCAATAATTTGCAATTCGTTTGGGCTTCAGAGGGCAGCTGTGTCTTGGTACACCTTGGGAGTTCGCGGTTGTGGGTGTAGGGGTCTGTGGTTGGGGGTTTCGCCGCAGGGTGGAGAAAGCAGCCGGATTGCCGACTTCAACAAGCGCCGCTTCTGGCGCAACCGATTTGCAAGGCATGACTACTACTGTACCGAACGGATTTCTGTCTGCTTGCCAGTTGCCTCGACCAGCGAAAGGCCCCTGCTGAGCGGATTCAGATCCTGGACCGAAACCGAGATACCCGAAACCCCAAACCTGCCCGAAGCAGGCTTTTCCCGATGTACGTGCTGACCAACGCTCTTTTCTTCATGATGCAGCGCATCTTTATCAAGGCGATGTTGGCGGGGTTGTCTGCTCTACTACCCCCGGGATCGCACGAACCTCATTACCGTGCCAGCACAATCCACTGCCGACTTTCTGATAACTTACATCTTGTCATGCAGCCGTCATGCAGCCTGTTCCTGCAGAGGGGCGTTGCAGGAACACTCGCTGTCCTTCCTCTCCTCGCCATACTGGGACTTCAACTTGGTGCTGACGGCTCTGGGCCTCAACATGTGGGTCTTTCCCATTACTGCGCCTCGGAAGCGAAAGCTCCATCTCTCGGTTTTCTATTTTGGGGGTTCCCTACTATAATTATAGTATAATGGCCCCCAAACCGCTATTCTACTCATTAAGGCCCTTACATTATTTTCGAGGGTTGCGCGGTTGCGGGGATGACCTCTTGGGATGTCGAAGTTCGCAGCCCAAGCACAGTCTTCGAAGGCTCCATCATACGCAGATGATGAGCCCCATGTCAGCGGTATGTGTCACTAAACTAGGTCGATCCCACGAAGCTCGCCAGAACCCTAGCAAAGCACCCCAAAAGCTCCGATGTTTCTGTGTACACCAGACCCCGAACGCTGACTCCTAGCGCCGGCTCTCGCAATCCAGGTCTGGCTTCCTTCCGGCTCCCAAATAGAGCTCCCAAGCAACTTCGTGACCTGGACAGTGCGGAACTCAGCTCATCATCAGGTGCTAACACTGCCTGAGTCGGTTTGTGATAAGCAGAACTATGATATACAGCTGAGGTGCAAACCATGGCCGTTTTCTACATCGTCTTCCCGAGCATGCTCTCATGGCTGCAGAATGTCCAGCGACGACGCCTGATGGTGCACCTGCTCTTTTGGCTCCAGGCTGTAACCTTCATGTCCCTGGCCGCTTGCTGAAAAGCTGGTGCTTATGGGTAGCTTAGGGTCTGACTATTTGAGCTCCTGCGCCAGCGCTGATGGGGTCGTCAGGCGGATTTCTGAAATTTCCGGGAACTGAGAAGCAGATCGAACCGAGAAAGGACAAGTCGAAGTAGGTGACGACGTAGAATGGAAGGCCCAAAGGATTCAGGACAAGTTGCAACCAGCAACCCTGTCGCAAGACTACCAAGTCGAACCCCGAAAATCCAATCACCAGATGGTTTCTCCACGCTCTGATCATAGGAGGCCAAAAGGGGTTTTAGCCTATGGGGGTTTAGTAGGGATTAGGGTTCCCATAATAGGGCTCATATTAAGGAATCCCTACCCCAAGAATCTTCAACCCCCAATTATGAAGGCCCCTATATTACAGTACCATTATAGTATCCCTGATAGTAACCCTTATAGAGCCCTTTAAAGAAACCCTAAACCCCCTTTTGGCCTCCCATCATCTGCAACTGTAGATCTCCTCGGTGAGGTCTGCATTGGCCTCTTTTGGCTGAACAACTTCGAGTGGTCCTACTGGAGTGCCAGAGCGTGGCCTTTGAGCCCCGAGCCCGCAAATCGAAGGATTTCGGCCAGAATGGTAAGATAGGATACGTAAGGATAGCTAGGATAGACAGGATAGGTATGATGAATAAGATAATAAGGATAGATAAGATACACAATAGTATAGCAAGCAGCCGCCGAAGCTTTGAGGCTTCCACGCCCTAAGGCTCTAAGGCTCAAGGTTCCGAGGATTCCCAGCAGTGTCAGCCCAGGCCGGATCCCCGTCTTCGCAATGGGTTGCCTCGCCGCCGTGGAGCGGATCCACGGTGGAGGCCATACGTTGTCGTTGTATGGGTGGTTGTCAAATTCTGTTCCCTTTTTGGGTCCCAAGGCAACCGAACTTTGACAACTACCCGTATGTATCATGATCGTGACATCACATCTTTGCGGCTGTCCCATGATGCGTTGTGATTCGTGTGCTGCCGCGGCGCTGAGGCTAGTGTTTTCTCGTTGTTCTCTCGTCGTTCTGGTCCTGGTCCTCGTCCTCGTTCTCGCGGCGGTGGGGGTGGTGCAAGTGGCGCCAAGCTAGTGCTTGTGCGATTGTGCTTATTGCTCTCGTTATTGTTTTAGCATTATCGTTGTTCTTACTGCTACTGTTGTTGTTATTGTTACTATTAATTGTTAATGCTCTTCTGTTTAGTCTTTTTATTCGGATTGTTATTATTACTCTTATGCTTAGTCTTATTATTATTCATATTCTTAGTCTTATTCTTATTCGTATTCTTATTCGGATTCTTGCTCTTGTTCTTGTTGTCGTTGTCGTTGTTAGTTGCTGGTTGTTGGTTGCTGGTTGCTGGTTGCTGGCTGTTGTCTGTTGTTGGTTGGCTGTTGATGGTTGGTGGTTGGTGGTTAGTTGTTGGTGTTGGTGTTGGTGTTGGTGTTGTTGTTGTTGTTGTTGTTGTTGTTGTTGTTGTTGTTGTTGCTGTTGTTGTTGTTGCTGTTGTCGCGGTTGGTGTGGTTGTGGTGGTGGTGCTGTTGCGGGGTGCTGGTTCTGGTGATAGCGTCGTCGATGCCGTCGTGGCGCTACCTGGTAGCTCTTCTTGTTGTTGTTGTCGTTGTCATTGTAATTTTCGTGTTCTTTTGTCAGTGTCGTCATCGTCGTGGTCGTCGTCGCTGTCTTCGTCGTGTGGTCGTTTTCGTATGCTGGCGCTGACAATGATGCTGACGATGACGGTGACGTTTAATGTGACGACATCAACTAAGACGATGACAACAGCGATCACGATGACCATGACGACGACCGCGGACATGTCGTGCTTCGCCTGGGACTGCCCTGAAACCAGAAAGGCTGAGCTGACTTTGCAGCCAGGTCACCTGACCGCATTTTGCCGCCTTCCCCGGCGCTGTTCCGCAGAGTCGGAGGATGCGAGGCCTCATGCAGCAGTAGAGCCCTTGCAGGTTTCGCTTGCAGGGCCTAGACGTGGAATGCAATGGAATGGGGGTTTATTGGTTTACACAACGCCACGTGACAATTTCGGAGGGAACTGTATAAAGCTCATTAATGTTGAAGCCCTTACTTACAGTATGCTGCCTTCGGGCCCAAGCTCAGAACTCCGAAGCTCTTGAAGCCCTTATGAAACCCCAGACTCCCAGACTTCCCTGAACCTATTCTAAGACTTCGAAGGCAAAAGGTGTTCAAGAGAAAACAGACATCTAAACCGTAAGCTTGAAACTCCTTTTTGAGTCTGCTCTCTTCCAGAGGAAGCACATCTAAACCATGAGCTCGAAACTTCTTTCTGCTCATGACGCTCCCAGAGGCCCCAAAGTAGTTCCTTTTGGGGATGACCTTATAGGGTTCTATATATGAACACGAAAAGGAACTACTTTGGGGCCTTTGGGTAAGCTCTTGCAAGCCCAACTTTGCACGCCAGGTGGGGATGGCGCGCCACCGCCTTGGGCGTCGGGTACCTCCTGGTGCTGGCTTTAGGCATTACAATCAACTCTGCAGCTTGGCGTCCTTGATTCGCCGTAGAGATCTGGTACTTTGGGAGGTACGGGCTGTCGAGTGTTGGGTTACCCCGGTCGGTATTGCCCTGAAGGAGCTTAAACCTAAAGTGACTATGGTAAGAAGATCTGCGACTTCCGGCGTCCGTCCTGGGCTCGCAGTTCCCCGGAAGCTGGAGCAAAATCTGCTCCTGGAGGGAACGCTGTTGCACAGAGTTTTTGGGTTGATGGTCCTCCCATATAGTGAGTGCATCTCAAGTCTATTCATCAGCACAGCTACCACATGCCTGAGCCACCTTGCCATGGGTGCGAATGCCAGCGCCAGCGCTTGCTGTGAAGAGCAGCCGGTCGCGTTGCCTGTGGAAGTCGTCGGCGCTGTGCAGCATGACGACAATCACTTTCCAGAGCCACCGTCACCGTCTTTATCCATCGGTGACGATATCGAGTCAGGTTTAGAGGTGGTACTTCCTGATGAGATTCTTCCTCCCCGAGTGTCGGTGAGAAGCTCATTGAGCTCAGAGTTGTTGACGTTGTCCATGTCCCCACAGTGGAGCGCAGACTTGCCAATGGTCCAACGCGCCATCAGCTTCAAGGTGGAGAGGGAAATCGTGCGGGGGATCCCGCTGGTCGTCACCCTCCGAAACTTCGGCAAGCTGTGGAAAACCTCACCTCTAGAATTGGACTTGGAGTCTCAGACGAAGCTGTGGAGCATGTCGCAGCCCGTTGACAAGTTCGATGTGTTTTTTTCGCACACCTGGAGGACACGAGGCAGCAGGAAGGTGCTCTCACTGTTGTTCCAGCATGGTTGGCGAACCTTGCTGATGCTCAGCCTTGGCTGTGCGGCAGTGGTATTCATCCTGAGTGCTGTTGGTGTGCTTCCAACAACACCCTTGACCTGGCCCGTGAATGTCATGGGCTTCAAAGCTATATGTCCTTTCTCTCCATGGACTCACCTGACCGGCACACTGGCATTGCAGATTTCTCTTTTTATTCTTCCGTACTGCAGCTGCGCATGCTCTTCACCGAAATGTTTTCTCGATGTGGTCAGCATTCATCAGACAGACAGGAGAATGAAGCAGCGAGGCGTTTACGGGCTGGGAGGCTTCCTGAGTATCTCGAAGGAGATGCATGTTCTATGGTCGCCACCGTACCTGACCCGCTCCTTGGTTGTAGATGCAACTACCGAAAGCTGCTACTTGTGTTAGGCTTAGTGGCAGACCTCAGGGCTGGCGATTTCCTGGAGCCTCATCATGAGTTGGGTATGAAAGCCCCAGGGTTACGAATAAGGTATGTTGGGTTTCTTGGTGACACACTATCCATCCGTTTTCACTTCGAACTGATGATTAATCCGCAGCTCTTTCAGAAACGAGCTTGAGGTCTTTGGTGCGTTTTCGAATTGGCCGCATTTCGCAAGGCAAACCCGCAGAAGCCTTTAAAACTGAAGCCGCTCTTCGTCGAGAGCCAGATCCTGCTCCTCACGGTGGCGAGCGGTATATGCAGCGCGATATATGTGATGGTGAGAACAGGCCATGGCATTGTGGCTCTTGCGAACCTTTCCTTTTTGCCCCTGGTGCTCTTTATACACACCAACCGAAGGTTCATGAGAGAGGAGCAACAACTCACCGAATCGCTGGAGACTTTCGACCTGCAAAATGTGCAATGCCACTCGGCCGCCGACAGGGCTTTCGTACACCTGGCCATCTCAGCTTGGTATGGCAGTGAGGAAGCCTTCACAGAGTACGTGCGTGGCCCGTTGAGGGAGGAGCTCATGGCCGCTTCCGGAGTGGACCTGCCGTTGAGCTATGCGCTTCTCATAGTTATCAGCCCATTTTGCATGGCCGTTGATGTGTGTGTAGCCATGATGCGTGCTGGGGCACCCCTCGAGGTTGTGCTGGCTGAGTTCACGAGCTTAGGGCTTGGCATAACGATGTTTTGGCTCATGTTTTGCACGAAAGTCATGTGGAGCCTTTGCAGCCGATGGGCTTCCCTTGGATCAACATGGATCAACGATTGCCTTGTGACCATGGCCGTCTTCCTGGTGTTTATGATTCTCTTGGCTGGAGGCAGCCTTCTCGTCAACGGCCTCCTGCCAATATCACCAGCAGGTGCCATAGCTGCTGGCATTGTCGCGATTGTCCTCACCCTTCTGGCTTTTAGTTCCCGTAGTGGATGCCAGGCCTTCTGAGTATGCGAGTGTTTCAGTGCCTCCCCCGCCTCAGCGTGTTCCAGCCTGTGCTTGACTTTTGACAGGCATTCCCCAACAGAGGTTGCCTCAGAACAATCGCGTTCTGGCACATTTGCTGCATTTGCTGCTGCAAAAGAGCAGCCTTACTCTTCGGACCATTGAATCAATGCAAAACGAAGCGCAGCTATACAAACGTCTGGTCTTAGACTTAAGCTTTTTGCAGAGGTGGTTCATCTTGCGTGCCTACGTTTTTGAGGAGACTTCACTGTCTTTCTTCATGCACAGCCAGAAGCATTTTGAGCTAGCAAGCCGCTTCTTTGAGCACGCGTTGAACGTGTCCCCACGCTGCTAGTTGTCGCATGGCTGCCCCAATTTTTGGCGAAACTACCTGCAAGTAGTGAAGCGCCGACGCTGGTGGTTTCCCAGGTGCCGTTGAAGGATTTCCGGCTGCTGCAACTTCGGGAGGGCTTGGTCCGTGCAAGCTGGGAGGCCGATTTGGGTTTCTGGGTCGGGGAAATTTCGGGGGCCTGGCGTCGTTTACGGTGGAGCTTCCGAGTTTGAAGCTCGTACTTTGCTGAATGAACGATTGTGGAGTCAGCGGTTTCTGCGAAGCAGAACTGACAGGATAATCCAGGATAGTGGAGTTACTTCCATCACGAGAAGCCCAGCCTCCCGTCCCGCGATGCCAGGCATTCGTCCCCCTGCTTTTCATCGACCTGATCCTGCCACGTGACGCAATAAATAGCCCTGAAAGTTTTGGACATGTCGGCTAGGAAGCCCTCCGGAAGAGATTGAAGATCTTCCTCGCGCAATATTGTCACAGCTCGCTGTTCGCTGTGTTTGTTCAACTATTCGATCGCGAGAAGCTGGATGCACACCTCGCCGAGGGCATTGACGCAGTGCGGTAACAATGGACCTCTGGCAAAGCTTTGCCGAAGCAAGCCGATGGAGTTCATGGGTGACTTGTCTGCATGCCCTGACCGTGAAATCGGGCACATACTGAGACTACAAATTCGAGAGAATGCAGACGGTTGCATTATGTTTGTCACAATCGCAAATGCTTTTTGTGTGTTTCGTTCCTCACACAGGGCGCCAAAGCGACCAAGCACACGAGCCACAGGCCGCGTTTGTGTTTTGGCCTCGCAAAGGAGACATCGCCATGGCCTTCTACATGGTGCACTTCATGGTGCTGGGCCTGGGTACCAGTCTTTGTGCCCCAGAAGAAAGTGGGAAGAGAAGGGACCTCTACAATTCAAGCGGAAAGATGCTTTGGCATCTTCTTTTACGCAGTATCTCAACAGTTCGTGGTTGAACTGATATTTGGCATTCTAAGAATTACGAAGTGGACATCATGATTGTGAGGGCTTCTGCAACCTCACTGGCACATGATCCTGAACTGCGCCCAATCCTGGTTTCGATTCTCGTGGTTGATTAGCACCCGGTCCCGAGAAGTGTGACTGTGAGGACCATGAAAACCAGCCCCGGATTCTAACATAGAGTTAGGGTTTTTAGGGTTTAGAGGCCTCAATAGTTACCTATAATGTATAGGTAATTGTTGAGGCCCCTATATTAGAACCTGGGGCTTTTGGGGGTCCCTTGTTATAATTCCAGTATACGGGGCCCCAGGACTCTATTCTACTTATTAAGGTTCTTACATTACCCAGGCAGGTCCGGGCCTCTAGTTTGGGTTCCATGGTGGCTGTTGTGACCGCCTAAGCGGACGATGTTGTGCAGCCATTTTCTCGTGTCGCAGGCAGTATCGGCGGTAGAAGTACTGGCATGCTACTGGCCACACAGATCACAATAAGCTATAGGTTAACCAGCATCATTTTTGAGAGCCTCTCCTGCGATAACTTCATGCATAGATGAGTGCTGTGAGGAAGCATGAGCAACAACAGGTACTTCTTGTAGCTTTGTCAGCGGTAGACTTCGGCGATTGGTCAGTATTGTGAATTGCGAATATTGCATGCATTTTGCGAAGTCATTAGACTCCTCGTACCTAGAAATTCTGCAGCTAGATTTCGGTACAACCATCTCACGCCCCGGTGCCCAAGCTCTAAAGCCTAAACCAAATATGGCGACAACCAAGGTGCCCGCTTCTTCCCCCCGAAGGGTCCCACGCCCATGTATGCGGCGACACCATGGCCCCGTGGCTTCATGGTGCATGGCCTTCGGGTTGAACGGCTCAACACAGGATAATTTGTTCAAGCTTAATTAAATCGTAAGGCTTACCCTAAACCCTAAACCGTCGTAAGGTTATGGGGTTTATGGGTGATGAGGGATTGGAGGAGAGCTTGGACTGTCACACTCGCCGTAGTCGGGCTTCCAAAGTCCTTGACAACATACTTTCGGCTGCTTGAAAGGTTCGAGGACTTCGCTTAACATAGGGGCCTTATTATAACTTTATAACTATAGTATAATATACACCAAAACCCTATTCTAATTATTAACGTCCCTATATAGTAGAGTCGGTTTGCGACCCTGGAGCGAAAATCCTGGAAATGCGCTACTTCCTGCTGTGATAAATGGGGCTACAAGGTTTCAAATCAGCATTCCAATGTCAGGACTCGCGTGGAAGCAGTAAGGCCTTGTGCAGAGAGAACTTTGCCGTCGGAACCTGATCGTAAGGGTTTTCGACCTGTAAGCCTGTAAGTAGATTTCTTCCCATAGATTCTCTTAGAGCTCTTGATGCCTGTGGGACCCCCAGACGAATGCAGCTCTTGCTGACACTGAAAAGAGGTCCCATAATCGAGCGTAGGGTATCAGTCAGCCGGGCTTTTCCGCCAAAGTCCAGGTGGCTGCTTGGCACATGTTTCGTCGTGGCTCTGTTCTTCGGAGCCTTTGTCACGGAAGAGCCTTATGTAACGGCGGCTTCGGTCTTTAACAGGGTTCATAAGGATGTGTAAGGACTGCTACGGTGCGATTCTTTGTACAGAGCATCCGTTACTACACTCTAATCATTGAGGCCCCTCTTGTAAGCGAAACGTACCATCTCCATCAGATTCATTGGCAGACCATGCTTCTTGTCTAGCCTAGTTGTGATCTCTACTCTGTGAGTTTGGCTTTTCGTGAAGACGCCACCTGCTAGGCACAGCCCTAAACCCTAAACCGTGGCTCTGTACCGTACCCAAGACAACCCAAGCCCCATCCGAGACGCCCGATTTGTCGATGCACGAGCTCTGCTTTGACAAACACTGTCATGTGAGGCCAACCTGAACCCTTTGTGTGTGCTTGCCGTCTGAGTGGAGAAACCCAAACTGCTAATCTGCCTGGGCACTGCAATGCCAAAACGGAAATTTAGCGATTAAGCCACAGCTACAGTCTTCTCAAGCTGTTGGTAGACCTGATACGGACTCTCCGGCCATCACCACTGCACACTCAGCGCACCGTGCAACTGCAGCAAGGATGGTTCCTCACTCGCTTCTTCGAAACTCCAACTCGCAAGTGCCTGCGAGCCTAGGCGCGGTAGAGGGCGAGGGGTGTACTTGGAGGATCATGGGACTTAGTAAGTAAGGTTAAAAGTACCTTATTTTAACGCTACGCCGCCCGCCTCGGCTGTGTAGCGGCAGGGCGAGGGGGCAGTCGATGTTTTTTTATGCTAGGGCGGCCTGTCAAACCCCAACCTTTACACGGTTGTTGATACGAAGTGCGAGGAGAATGGGTAGGGGAGGGGGGGGGGGGGGGGGGGGGGGGGGGGGGGGGGGGGGGGGGGGGGGGGGGGGGGGGTTGGGAGGCCGACAAATCAGGTAAAATGAGGGGAAGCCGGGCAAGGGGGTGGCAAACGAACGCAAGGGTGTCACCAATCATTCGGGCTGCAGGATAAAGGATTAGGTGGAGGGTACCTGAGGTAACCACCAAGACGCCTGGGCCTCTGGCCTCGGCGGATTGGGTTATAAGTATAGTTGCCCTAATTATACCCCTAGTTACTATAAGTCCCATGATCCATTTAGTAGGGGTGGAGTGGTTCCAGGCGATTCCAGGTAAATGTCTTGTATACGAACACGACGACTGCATGAAGGTGCCTGCCAACTTGTGGCGTCAGAGGAGTGCAGCTTTGCAGCTTTCGCAGCGGCTGACCATTGCTACCCTGCTTCCGCAGATCTTCACTGTGAAGCCAAGTCGTTGTTTCCAACCCTGGGAAGTCTGATGCTCCTCATGGGTGGTTATCAAAATTAGGGTCCCTTTTTTGGTCCTTATTATAGGACGGCACCTATTATTTAAGGTACCCAAAACGGCACCCCTAATTTTGACAACCACCCTCATCTTACTGTAGAACATCTTAGGACCAAAACGCGCGCAACAGTGATCTTCCAGCGCTGCATGCAAGTAGTTGTTAGCGAGCCGTAACCACGGTAGCAAAGGGATGCAAGCATCTTCGGTAAGAAGTCACGCGGATATGGGCTCAAGACCAGCATCCTGCGAGGCTGAAAAACCCACTGCCTTGAAATCCTGTCAAGGTTCAGGACTCGCAGAATGTGTTTAGGGTTTAGGGTCTAGGAGGACTCACAGACTGTAATGGGAGGGTGTCCAGATTCTAGTGGAGTTCCTATGCTGGGTTCCTGAAAGCTCGTCGGAAACTTCTCTGGCTGGGCCGGTGTGAGTTTTGATTGTGTGGGGGTGGGTCAGGGCCAAAGAGTCCTGGAAATCGCAAAAAACCCTTCCTGCATGCGACAGACAGGAGAGCAGAAGGCCTCTTGCTGCAGCAAAACTCTGCTGTAAGGGCATGCGGTTACGAAGCAGTGGGCCAAGACGTTCCCCCAAGCCTTAAGAAAGTTCTTTGGTCGAGCTTAGCTGGTAGTTGCCGGTGTTGTTTCTGTGTAAACCAGGCATGCCTGACAGGAGTTGCGGATCACCGGTGAGGCGAAGTCACTAGGTCGCGTCTCACTTTGCACCAGTTTTCGTGGCGGCCGCACTTTCCGCGGAGCCCGTGCTCTGCAAAGCAAACCCACTGGGCTACTGCCGAATGAGGGATAGCGCTTAAACACTTTTACTGTTACTATGACATACTATGACTCTTATTCTCTGTCTACTACTGCTACTATACTATACTTTATGATTGCTACTGTCAATGTTATTATGGCTGTTGCTATGATTCTTTACTAGTAGTAGTTGTAGTAGTAGTAGAAGTAGTAGTAGTAGTAGTAGTAGTAGTAGTAGTAGTAGTAGTAGTAGTAGTAGTAGTAGGAGTAGCAGTAGCAGTAGCAGTAGCAGTAGCAGTAGCAGTAGCAGCAACAGCAGGAGTAGCAGTAGCAGCAACAGCAGGAGTAGTAGTAGTAGTAGTAGTAGTAGTAGTAGTAGTAGTAGTAGTAGTAGTAGTAGCAGTAGTAGTAGTAGTAGTAGTAGTAGCAGTAGCAGCAGCAGCAGCAGTAGCAATAGCAGTAGCAGTAGCAGTAGCAGTAGCAGTAGCAGTAGCAGTCGCAGTCGCAGTCGCAGTCGCAGTCGCAGTCGCAGTCGCAGTCGCAGTCGCAGTCGCAGTGGCAGTGGCGGTGGCAGTGGCAGTGGCAGTAGTAGCAGCAGCAGTAGGAGTAGGAGTACATGCTTTTGTTGTTGGTTTGTTTATTTCGTGTTGTTAGTATTGGTAATGGTTTCATCAGTAATAATGATACACCAATAATGATGGCAACGCCAACAATATAATCAACTTGTCAGGGTTGGGTTGAAGGTCGAACTCGACTCCTGTGTTTTGGCATAATACAGCAGTTTTTCCTCCAGCATCACATTCTTGACAATTACGTTCGTGGCTGCAATCAGGTGGAAAAACCAAACTTTTCGACTGTCCTTATACCTGCGGTCCAAAACACACACACATGTCTCTCTTCTACTTACTGTTCCCCTTTGCTGAAATGTGCCAAAACGCTCGTCATAACTATGTAAATACAAGTGTAAATTATAGAAGCAATAACGATTAGTACTATTCTCGAACCTTACTACCGGGCTCGCGCCTGCCGCTGCATCGTGCGGCCAGCCGTCTGCTCCGGGTAGGTCTGTGGCATGCGCCCTGTGAATATGGCACGAACGTGAGTCGCAGTACAGAGGCCCAGGATGCAGAAGCTCTGGTCTCTTTGAGTGCTAAGCTTGGTAAAACCAGCATCTTCGAGACGCCAAGACACCAGCATTCATGGACTTCACGTGGCATGCAGTTCGCATGCGACCAATGCGTGCCGGCTAGGCGTGCACACTTGCCCAACCTTCTCGTAGCAGACCTTTCTGCAGGGGGTCGAGGGGTAGCAAGGTGATGCGAGAAGAAGGCAATCCAACACTCGAAGCACCGATGACTGATGTTTTTGCAACGGTCGGTGAAGTGGTGGCCGCATCGGCAAAATCGTAGAGGGAGCAGCATCGCTAGCAAAGCTCATTGTGGTGAAGGTTACAAGCTAGGATGCAAATCACAGCGTAGCATCAGCAACAAGCACACCAACACGACAGCCAGCTGTCGTAGTAAAAGGCTGAAGCAAGTGAAGCAAGGATTCTACATAGACATGGCAATATTTTCTTGCCACCTTTGTTTGATGAGGGAGACCCCAAACCGCAAGCCCAATAGGACACCTTAGGTGCCATGAACATGACGTTTCTCGCATTCCGAGCGAATCCTGGAGCGACTGGCCCATGTCTGCACCGGGGCTTGCATGTACAGTGGAAGACCGTAAAATTGTACGAGGTGGGGAGGATGGGAAGAAGCCACCCTTAAACCAAAACCTCCAAGCCCCGTAAACTCTTACGCCATAAACCCCAAAAGCCCAAACCTTATAAGCCCTGAACCCTCAATTCATTGAGATGTTTCGGATTCCATACCTCCAGAGAAGCCATGCCTCCAGAAAACAGGAGCCCCCACCCTCACAGCCTAAACCCTAAATCCTAAATCCAAAACCCTTCCTGAACCGGACTAAGGCCATCCTTGATCTTCCCCACGCGCTCCTGAGGCCGACTCATATAGGGGGCCTTAATACAGCAATTAGAGTAGGGTTTCATGGGTTACTATAAGGGTTTAATATAGGGGACCTTCATAATTAGAGTATGGTTTTGGGGCCCATGATACTATATTATAGTAAGAATCCCCCAAAATAGTATTGCATGGTAGCTATTATATTGGTAACTATTATACGGCCCTGTTCCGTACATTATGCCATTCGGACTTCGGATTGCCGTCCCGGTTAAGGGACTTTAGGATTTGAAGGTTTTGGGCCCTAAGGTTGGCCGTGGAAGTGCGCGTGGGTGAAATCTCGTGCAAGGCTTTGGCTTCGAGTGCATCGTACTGTGACGGCTGGTTGTTGAAGCCTGATCGCGGAAGGATTTTCCGCATCTCCATCCACGCGGGGCTGTCTGATGCTCCTCATATGCGTTGTGCACAAATCTCTGTGAAGGCGACGAATCTGCTCGACGGGTGGCCCGTCAGAGTGGCCTCTTTACCCGACCAGAACGCGCTCCGTACCGGTGAAACGCTCCGTCTTCGTGACGGGCTGGCATGCTTGGTCCCACCTGTGCCGTTTCCACTTACAGTGGCGGACTAAGCCCCGAGTGCGGGAGTCTCAGGTCTGTGGAATTCGGACCACACTTCGGCCTAGTTCTGGTGGCATCCTTAAGTTCAGTGAAGGTACTGGGACTCGGAGTAGTAGCAGTAGTAGTAGCAGCAGCAGGAGTAGTAATAGTAGTAGTAGTGGTAGTAGTAGTAGTAGTAGTAGTAGTAATAGTAGTAGTAATAGTAGTAGTAGTAGTAGTAGTAGTAGTAGTAGTAGTAGGAGTAGGAGTAGGAGTAGGAGTAGGAGTAGGAGTAGCAGTAGCAGTAGCAGTAGCAGTAGCAGTAGCAGCAACAGCAGGAGTAGCAGTAGCAGCAACAGCAGGAGTAGTAATAGTAGTAGTAGTAGTAGTAGTAGTAGTAGGCGGAGTAGGCGGAGTAGGCGGAGTAGGA